ATACTATACTGGTATCATATGTTAGTTAATATTTATTGGTTGTATTAGTTATATTTAATTGGTGCACAATTTAAGTTTTCTTTAGTAATAATATAAAAAAAGAATAATAAAAATAGTGAAAACAGTAAATGAAATTAGACTATAAAGAGAAAAAGAATATAATTTTTTTTTAAATGAAATTAGAAAAGAAAAAAAAGATAAAAATAAGAAGAAAACGAGAAAAAAGAAAAAGAGAAAAGAAAAAAAAATGGAAAAGAAACATAGAAATAAAAAGAATTGGAGAATAAAGAAAAATTCCCCACAAAAACTATTATGGGTATGAAATGTAATTAGTTTTATGGGTAGAAAAACAAATGGGTAGACAAGGATAAATAGTTTTGTTTTTGTGGGTAACTGTGTCAAAACCCCTATTTTCATATCCTTAAATCACTTAACCATGATAAGTGGTGCGATTTGATGTAAACCGGCCCAGTACGGTTAGCTCTTAATCCTGTTCTAGAACACGTAAAGTCATACTTCTTGGTCACGTAAGCCACTATCAACAAGTTGCTAAATCATTGTGGTACTTTGTTAGAAGAAAATCAATTAAAAGGCTAAGACAAAAGGTACATATTATAAGTAAATAATGCCACTAGGTTTGTATCTTTTCCAACATTTTAAAAGTCTCATCACCTGCAATTTCCAAAGGAAATACTACAGGATAGAAATATAATAAGACCCGAGCAAGTAGAGCGTGTTGTTTACAGAGTTAAAGTTCATCTTAATTAAGGTCAATTCATCTCTTTATTTTGTTAGGCAGAGAGCCTCAAGACTTTAGTGTTGGGACATTGTTCTGTCCCTTTTTCACATGCTCAATTTGCTTTTATATCTTAATTAATATTGACAATCCATTGTCATATTTAACCTTAATTCTTTGTTTGAAACTAAAGAAACTAGAGTTGATTTCACGCATGATACTGATCTTTGTTGACATATAGTAAAAAATTAGTCATATTAAAATACTTTACTCACTATAATAGTAAATTAATGTAATAAACTTCTTTTTTAATCAGCGCGTAGCACTATGTGAATTCCATATCAAAAAAACTAATAAATTTCACTTTCACTACTCATATCTTATTAAAAAGTATTAAAAAGAAAGACAATTTTGTTATAAATAGAATTGTATTTATGGTGAATGTCTATATTTAGAGAGATTGTAGGGTTCATTGCTTGGTGGCTAAGTCACCCTCTCCCTATAAATAGAGGGTTCTATTCTATTGTAATTCATCCCAAAATTCAATAAGAATTCTCTTTCCCTACTTTTCTTTGCAAATACTGTTCTTCTTCTTTTATTGTTTTATAACACGTTATCAGCACGAGACTCTAACCAATTGAGTAGAAGCTTTGGGATTGAGCATAATGATTGTCAATTATTCCATGAACTTCCTTCATGATTAAATTCTGGATTTAAGGTAAGTATTTTACCGTATTTTTCTCTTTTATTCTATACTTTGATTTTATATACAAGCAAAGACAATAAAGTTTGATTATAACTCTAATGGAGTTTGTAAGAAATTATAACCACCTGAAGTGGTAAAAGTTTCTATGTCTTGCCATGATCAAATTCATGTATGATTATGGGCACAAAAAGTGGAAACCCGTCCCATTGAATTTGCTCCATTCTCATTCCCTTAAGAGAATGTGATAGCAGTATGTGATAAGTCTGAAAGAAGACAAAATTATCACTATGAATGTATCAATGGATGTGGACGTGGCAATACACGAAATTATAATTGTCATCATTGTGATAATGAGAATAATAAGGATTCTCAAAATAATCCCCCACTTGTGAAAATATTTGTCATCGATTTGACATGAGATTTTACAAAGCACATATAGATGATTATGGTCTATTCATGATGTGAATGTGACAACATCTGATTTAAGAATACACATTCATTTTTGGAAGAATATGAGCGTGCTAGTGGTATATACCACACTCACCTCTAGAAGGAGGTTTGAGATGATATAAGAAAATAATATCATTATTATGGCATGAATGGTTATTGGTCACGTACCTATTGTACGCCAAAATATTTTGGCATTGTGATTGTTAAAAGACAACGCTAATGCAAGAAACAGATCTTGCATATAATTTTGACCATAACCATAATGGTATAACTTTCTCTTTAAAAGAGATATTCACCATATGTGTGTTGATGAATATGTGGTAATACAAAATTAATTGAGAGCTCTAGAAGAGCCAATTATACTATTTTGGAGAATTATCAATAAGACGTTGTGTTGTAGTAAGTCTCAAAGAAACTTATTGAGTTTCTAAAGTATTCGGGAAAGCGGTTGGTCATACTGAGACTATAAATAAAGGAAAGATTTAATATCTTTTATTACTACAACTTGTAGCGGGGTAATATGCATGTGAAAAGCTACCCGCTTTATTCTCCAGTTTATACTACATAAACAAAAGAATACCACAATGAAGTGGATATTATTGATATAAAAACTCATATCATAATAAACTTGGAGTTTATTCATAATTGCACACATCATGGTGTAAACCTGAAGTTTATCAATATTGATAATTTATCCAGTTGGCATAATTGGTTTAGCCATGTTAATTCAAGTATGATGTGCAAAAATAAAAGAGAATTCACATGGGTAAATATTAAAGAACTAGAAAGTTCTTTACGAATTCTCTTATGTTGCCTGTTTTCATTAATTAATATACCAACTAAAATTGGGATTGAATCCCATGAATGTTGGAAATATCAAAGGTGAATATGGGCTCATTCACCTGCCATGTATACCACATAAGATGCATCTACGAGATGGTTACATGTGCGATTATTATTAACCCGCAACATGGTGTTTGCGAGGTAACTTGCTCAATAATTTAATTTCGAGCATAATTTCCAGATTTTTTTTCAAGATAGTTCTTCTTGATAAGTTGGTTTACATCACAGTTGGTTTAGAAAAATGATTTATTGAGTGCCTCCACTTAATAGCTAAACAATTGCTTATGAGAACAACATTTTGTATATCAATTTGATATACGTTATGTACCAAAGTATATTACATTATCCCCTCACAAGTGGTTCATGGTCAGGAACCAAATAATTCCATCTTATTATTATTGATGTGCGGTGTATATTTTGATTAACACCATAACGCACAAAGATGGGTTCTCAAAGTTGAGGAAACAAGTTAGTTTTTCTAACATGAGGGGGAGACATGATAAATAGTTGAGAAAAGGTTACGTGGAATGAATTATCACTTGTACATCTAGATCCTCGAATAAGATAATATGAACTTGAAGTTCATAAAAGGATAATTCATGTGCAATTTATTGCAAAGTATGCTAGACGCATTTGCTGACCTAAAGAAAGTAACTATATTCTCATTGCAAATGCTCCTATTAAGTCCTAGAAGGACAAAGTCTATAGTACGCTTAAAGCATATAGACAAATCGGTTTCAAATAAACTTCTTGAAAAGAAGATAATGATCTAAATGATCATAACAAAAGGAGGCAAGTGATCTAGAAGATCACATGACATAACACTTCATAAAATCTCATGAGAGATTCAGGTACCTGAAAATATGAATGAAGAGATCGCTATGTTATGTCTTTATGAAAAAATACTGAAACTGATATAAAATGTTTGTCGACGACATTGATTATAGCACTAAATATATATGAGGATCTTAAGTTTGGAGAAACAATTCAAGTAGAATTTGGTTTCATATGAAAGACAAGTAGGTTTGGACCTGCAGTTCAAACACTTAAAAGTATAAAGTCAATGGTGTGTGCTATCACCTTTATCTATCTTATATGTCTAGCATGACATGAAAACTTGATATGCATCTAAAGTCTATTTATTTGGCTTATATGACTTAAAAATCCTTGAAGGATTTAAATTGCTTAAAAGCATATAGAATTCATGGTCATGAAGTACTATATCCTAAATGCAATTTGTGCACATATGTATCTTGCTATAACTATATGCATGATAATATGATAGCAAGAGTTTTCACCTCTATGTGAAGATATTGAACTGACGATTCCAACAAGATCATATGAAGACAATCCATCTCTATCAAGAATGATGATTTCAAGGTGCAATATATTCATTCAAGTTAATATGGCTGATTTGTTTATCAAATATCTACCAAAGATCTTTTGAAGATGGTGCACAAGATTGGAATGCAAATGCTTAAGGATGTGAATTGATGCTCTCATCAGGGGGGAGTTAATACGCGTTGTACTCTTTTTCCCTTACAAGGTTTTGTCCCACTGGGTTTTCCTTGCAAGGTTTTTAACGAGGCAACCAAAAGGCGTATTGTTAGATATGTGTACTCTTTTTTCTTCTCTAAATTTTTTTTCCCACTGGGTTTTATTTTAGTTAAGGTTTTAACGAGGCACATTATCTGTTGAATAGACATTCAAGGGGGAGTGTTATAAATAGAATTGTATTTATGGTGAATGTCTATATTTAGAGAGATTCTAGGGTTCATTGCTTGGTGGCTAAGTCACCCTCTCCCTATAAATAGAGGGTTTTATTCTATTGTAATTCATCCCAAAATTCAATAAGAATTCTCTCTCCTTACTTTTTTTTGCAAATACTGTTCTTCTTCTTTTATTGTTTTATAACAAATTTAAGGTAATATCTAAATGTAACAAAGAAAAGAAGAAAAATTAGAGTATAGAAGTAGTTTCGTGATTGGTGAGATTTGACAACAAAGCATACATTTGCCCCTCAAAGTGTACTTAAAAATCGCAACTATTAGGCCAATACCAAACTCGTCCATAAAGTACTTTCCGAATCCAATATTTTGTTTACTAAAATAGAGAAGAAAGGGCCAGCCGGCCAAGACTGTCGAATCCCCACCAAACAAAGCAGAGCATTTTCTTGTTTTTCACCACTCTCTTATCATCTTTTCTTCTCTATATATATTACACACTCATATTTTGGTGTGGCCAATAGTATACTTTGTGTTTTCCTTAAATAAGACAATGAAGAGCAAGTTCTTCCTTTGTTTTCGTCCTATTGTTGAGGACTCTGTTCTTCACAACCACGCTATTGATCGGTCTTCTCCAACTATTACAAAAAGAAGTGTCAAAAATGATCCACTGGTTAGTAGTCTTTCTTGAGAATCTAAAAGTCTTTCCAATTGTCTTTTTCCATTTTTGATGTTAGACTATCCAAACTCCAGGATATATATGTGAGTGTATCAATTTTGTAAATATTATTACTGTCGAAGTGTGTAATCATTCAATCAGTTATACACTTATATTTACTTAATTATGTCTCTTGCCGACCTGATATTTTCTTCATGGTGAACAACATGAAAATTATTTTTGATTATTGGTGGTATTGAGACTCAAACTCATGATGCTTTTGATACGATGTTAAAGTGTGTGATATTATCTGAAAGTATACATTGTTAGATATAAGGCACTTTTATTTACTGAATTACGTCTTCAACAGTCGCCAAGTAATAGCTAGAGTCATGACTAGTGCAACCTTCAATTTTGCAGTTTGAGCCAAGAATTAATTGCAGGCGAAATAGAAGGGACAAGTTCTTCAAAGCATTACATGGTGATCACTCAAGGAATCAAGAAACACTAGTTTTGAAGGGTAATCATAACCAGCAAAGGGAAATTACTTCAATTGGCAATTTATCTAAGGGAAAGCAGTCATCAAGGCCATATTCATACAACCACAGAAATACCATAAGTGCTTCAGCATCAGCAAGTGATGAAATCAAGAAATATAGCTCAAGTGTTTATTTGATTATTTTCGCCTTATTTGCGACCATCTATTTTGGTAGGGTTTATGCAATAGTCTTAACATCGTTATGGCTTCTATTATTCTCTTTGGTACCGAAGTCAATTTGCAGGATACTTGAAAAATTCTTTATAGTCGGATGTGGAGTACAAAAACAAAGCTATGATGGAACTGTTGAAATGAGAGTGACTTGAGTTAATGTATCTGGAGTCAAGTAGTGACAGTTAGTAGTTGACTAGAGTTAGCTAAATAACTAACTATTGGAAGGTTAGTTGTAATATTATAGTTAGAGTTCGATAGCTGGCAATTAGATGGTAGTTAGTTATAGGTTAGTGCATATTGTATATATAAGCTCTTTCATTTTTTAATTTAGTTCAGCTTGCTTCATACGCTAATCTCTCTCTAGTTTCCTCTCTATCAATCTCCATTAGAGCATAGCTGCTTTGTAGAGATTCACAGAAATTCATATGGTATCAGAGAATTTCAACTGTTAGTACAGTTTTTTTCGATCCTTAGACCAATACTTCATCTCTGTATTTCTGTTGCAAGCTGAATCATGACGATTGAAAATATGGAGCCAGTAAAGTAAAGCCACAATCATCCCGTGCTTCTGCACTCAACAGAAATTCAGGTAATGTATTGATCTCTCTCCAACTAAATGGGCCAAAAAATTACTCTGTATGGAGACGCGCAATGCGAATTGCAATCCTAGGAATGAATAAGCTAGGGTTCATAGATGTATCATGACTCGAAATTTTCACCGTCGGGACCGTGATGGCGCCTAATATTTCACTTGCTAGGCAAGCCAACATTAGAGATTATTAGGCCAAATTCTTAAACCTTTTAGTGATTAACAACAATTAAGCCATAACAAGTTATAAGAGTGCGGAAATCCATAAACAACCTTAATATTTATACACAACTACCCAGAATCTAGAGTCACAACTCACGAACTTCTAAGAATTTACTACAAGCAATTTGTCTGAAGGAAAATACAACTGTTTCAATACAAATGAAACAGTAAAGAGAATGTATAGAAGGGGACGCCAAGGCCTGCAAACGCCAGTAGGACTACCTTGGGTCTCCGATCAGATGATGCCAGCAGCTAAACTCAAGATGAGCCCAAACCGGTACCAAAATGTGCACAGGAAGTGCAGAGTGCAGTATCAGTACAACCGACCCCATGTACTGGTAAGTGTCGAGCCTAACCTCGGCGAATTAGTGACGAGGCTAAGACAAGACACCCATAAAACAAACTTGTGCAGTATGACGATATATATACTAGTAACAGCAGTAAAAGAAACAATACAAGTAATATTGGGAGGGGGACATGCTGAGGGGATCACAAGATACAGAATCAAAGCAGTGATAAGAACTTGATCAACCAATATGCCTTAAACAGATAGAAGCAAGTAAACACAGTAAAAGAAACTGCACGGCATCACCCTTCGTGCTTTTACTCTCAACCTCACCATACGAAATATTAGAAACGGCATGGCATCACCCTTCGTGCATTAATTCTCTCATAACATGGTACGGCATCACCCTTTGTTCATTAACACTCGCAATATGGCACGACATCACCTTTTGAGCATTGTCATTTACAAAACATGGTACGACATCACCTTTCGTACATTAACACTCTCCCTCACCAAAACAAGGAACAATAATAACAGGGAGATAGAAATGACAGCAACAAGTCTTACTTCAACATTTGATTCCACAATATCAACCTCAACCTTGAGTCAATACTCAATCAATACTAAGGTCCCTAAACATGATAAGATTGCTCAACACAACAAGTAGCTAGTATAAACATGGATAATATGATCAAAGAAGCAACAATTACAACAATAGGACCCACTCGCATGCTATAACCCGACAACAATGCATAGGTGCTCGTCACCTCACCTATACATAGTACTCAACATTCAAACACGTAGCAAATAGGCAAATAAGACATAATCCCTCAAGCCATGGTTAACCACAACACTTACCTCGCTCCAATGGCCAAACTCAAAGCTCAACCACAACTTTTCCCTTTAAACAAGCCTCCGGACTAATAGAATCTAGCAAATTACCAGCCAAACGATTCAATTTATGCCTTAAGAACTACCCACGATTGCAAAGGATTCAATGTAGGTAATTTTTGAAAAAGTCAACACCCGGGCTTGCTTGGTCCAAACCCGAAATACAGAACAAAACCCGATTATCCATTCAACCCCGAGCCCAAATATATAATTGGTTTGGAATCCGACCTCAATTTGAGGTCCAAATCCCCAATTTTCGAAATCCCTAGTTTGTACCCAAAAATCCCCAATTCCACCATGAAAACCTTAGATTCTAGGTTGAAATCTTGTAAAGGTAGTGAAATATTGAAAGCAACTAGTTTAGAATCACTTACCTACCACTGAGAAAAGTTATTTGGAAAACTGCCTATTGTGTTATTAGGTTTTGAAAATTTAAAACATTGGAGAAAAATCAAGTCTAAGTCTATTTTACACAGCTGTAGATGTAGCAAATGCGACCTGGGCTTCGCAAATGTGACGCCCGCAAATGCTAGAAATCCATTGCATTTGCGAGAACTCCCATAGTTCTGCTTCCTTCGCAAAAGTAAAGAAATGCTCGCAAATGCGAGCTGAGCTGACCGCAAATGCGATCCCATGATCGCAAATGCGAAGAGTGCCTCCCCCTGTCCCCATCGCAAATGCGGAGGAAAGTTCGCAAATGCAAACATAAGGTGGCACAGCTTCTCTTCGCATTTGCAACGAGAAGCTCGCAAATGCAAACCCTTCAGAGGTCGCAAATGCGATGCCTGATCTCGCAATGCGAGATCTTGGGCATGCAACAAGATCAGATGCACCAGCAGTGTTTTCCAAGCCAAATTTCACTCCGTAGCCTATCAGAAACTCACCCAAGCCCTCGGGACTCCAAACCAAACATGCACACAAGTCTTAAAATATCATACGAACTTGCTTGCGCGATCAAATCGCCAAATTAACACCTAGAACTACGAGTTTTGCACCAAATCGAATAAAATTTTCAAGAAAACTTTGAAACTTCTAATTTCTCAACTAGACGTCCGAATCACATCAAACCAATTCTGTTTCTCACCAAATTTCATAGACAAGTCATAAATATTGTATTGGGCCTACACCGGGCTCGGAACCAAAATACGGACCTGGTATCAACAAAGCCAAACATCAATCAATTCTTAAAAACCATTAGAGTTTCAGACTTTTAATTTTCAACAAAAATTCATAACTCGACATACGGACCTCCGAATTTAATTACGGGCATACGCCCAGGTCCCATAGGTCAATACGGACCCATCGGACCGTCACAAAATAGGTCCGGGTCCATTTATTCAAAACGTTGACCGAAGTCAACAAAAATTAGGTTTTAAGGCAAAAATTCTTATTTTTTATCAACTTTCAACATAATAGCTTTTCAAAAATACGCCCGGATTGTGCAGGCAAATAAAGGAGGGATAAATGAGGTGTTTAAAACCTCAAAACACAAAATTTGATTTTAAAATTAAAAGATGATCTACCGGGTCATCACAAGATGTTACTTGCAAAAAGGTGAATTTCTGTCCAGATTTGGTGATCTATGGGAAAGATGTAATGCAATCGTCTTTTCATGGATTATGAACTGTGTGTCGAACGAACATTACAACGGGATAGTGTATTCCATAACTGAATATTCATTTTGGGGATATTTGAATAACCGTTTCGATGAAATTGATTGCTCTAGAATCTTTCAGATACATAAGGAGATCGCTACCATTAGTCAGGGAACCAGCTCTATTTCTAGTTACTTGTCTGAGCTACGTTTGCTCTGGGCTGAATTTGATAGCCTAGCCCAATTTCTTATTGTGAGTGTGCTAAATCCCATGAATTTTTTACCTTCATGGAGAGACTGAATCTTTTTCAATTTCTTCTAAGACTAAATAAGTCCTATGAACAACCGAGGACCCATCTTTTGATGATGGTTCAGGTGCCCTTAATCAACAAGGCATCATATGTTGATGGAAAAGGAAAATCAAAGGAACATTACCAATGCATTACCATTGCGTGAAATTGAAAACGTAACAACACTCATGACAGTAAGAGGAAATGGACCTGTTCAAAGGGGGAAAGAAGAACTACGACATGCAATGTGACTATTGCAAGCACAAAGGACATACTCGTGAAGGATGCTACAAATTGATAGGGTATCCTGCAAATTATAAGTACAAAAGGAAACCTATAATTACAGCTGCACACAATGCTACAACGGAGGAACACAAAGGACAGAATACAACATGAAACAACACTTGTGGAGGTGTAAGCTCAACATAACAGAATATTCGAGGACCTTATTTTATACCTAAATAATACACACAAATAATTAAAATGCTCAGTAAGGATAACACAGCTGAAACCTCAGGCGGCATAGTCAACATGGCATGTGCTGTTAATGCCTCTTTAACAAATTCACAGGTAAATAAATGGATAGTCTGGAGCCACAAACCACATGGTGTCTTATTTAAGTATGTTAAAACCTAAAATAAGAAGTAGTGATATTGAAAGAAAAAAAGATACAATTGTGGAGAAACTACAACTATGACACAAATTGATTCGTGTATATTGACTGATAAAGATGAAATAAATAATGTCCTACACATATCAGACTTTAGATACAATCTCTTGTTTGTATCCAAGCTCACAAAAGAACTAATCTGCTCAATATGTTTCTTTTCACATTTTTGCATATTCAAGTACCTCTATAGTGGAATAGTGAAGGGGATTGGTAAAGAAAATGAATGCCTATACATGTTCCTTCAAAACTCTACAGAAAGTAACATGGTTACAAAAAATGGACTGGCTGAAATCCAGGAGAAAATGGACAAAGGGTTGTGGCATAAGCGACTTGGACATGCATTAGTAGGAGCAATAAGATAGATTCTAGGCTTAAGTCAAGAAGAATGTAAAGTGTCAATAGACAATTGTATGATTTTTCCTTTAGCTAGGCGTAAAAGACTGTCATTTCCAAATACACTAGTAGAATATTTGAATATTTAAATTTATTGCACATTGATATATATATATGGGCCTTACAATGTATAAACATTTTATGGAAATAAATTATATTTGACAATTGTGGATGTTCATTCAAGAACTACTTTGTTATACTTGCTTAGGCTTAAAAGGGATGTGATTGTTGTACTCAAAAAGTTTTTTCACACTAGTACAAACACAGTTTGGAAAAATAGTCAAGAAGATAAGGTCAAATAATGGTGGAGAACTCATCAATGCAAGTTGTTCTCACATTCCCTAGGTATGATTCATGAAAGGACATGTG